AGAAACACGCTGACAAACGCCGGCCGTAGAAGAGAACAGAGTACAGTCGTAACAACAGCCTGAAGACACACCGAGAAAAGACAACACAAGTGGCCGAGGAGCTGGCTTTAACGCCCCCTACTGGTAACCTTGTTCTCAGTGTGGCTGTACTGAGGCTAACCCGGGGAGAGGTCCCGGACTTGAACCCACAACTCTGGTGTGAGAATAAAGGTTGTGCTGTAACGGTGTTTGTTTGTCCAAACGTAGTGTGGAAAAGAAAAGAAAAGAAAAGAAAAGAAAAGAAAAGAAAAGAAAAGAAAAGAAAAGAAAAGAAAAGAATTCCTAAACGAGAGCCGAGAGATTCCTCAGCGCTCTGAAGAAGACCAAATGTTTGTGGAAACAAAAACTAAAGTGCAGCCGCTACAGGGCTCTCAGCGTTTGTGTGTCCTTCAAAGCGTGCCGTGGCTGTTGTGTTGTAGTACATTAGGGCGTGTGTGTGTGTGATTGTTGAGTTATGGCTCTTTGTCTTCTGGTCTGGCTTTAGCGCCAAACAGAGTGGGTTTGTGCTTTGTCTCCCAGTTCCCATGAATTCCTCTGTGGCAACAGACAATTGTGGTGAGGGTAGAAAAACTGTACACGTGATTGAATGAAGAATGGGCTTGCATTGTTAAGGCATCTAGACTGCTGGTAAAGATTACAGTGACAGAAAAAAAGAGCATATAGATACAATATGTAAGCAGGCATAAATAAGACAGAACAGAATGGAGAAAAAGAGGAAACAAAGAAAGAAACACACGGAGCAACTCCTGACTTCTCCTGGTTAACACACACACACACACGCACACGCACACACAAAAGAAAGTTTCACTCGAGAACCATGCATATTATCAGTTCTAGAACAGTATCAATCTGAAAGCAGAGTTCAAAAAGATATAGCTTTACAGTATATATTAATGTGTGGATATATTCTTAAAAAAATCTACTTCAACCAAATACTCTGGATAAGATGCTACCTTTTGCCGTACAATAAACATTTTCATAAGGGGAAAAAAAAAGTTTTGATTTTTTTTTTTTATTAACTTACAAATAATACAAAAATAGACAAAGTCACGTTTTGAGTCAACAATGAAAGAATGGTTGACGAACAGACGAAACCAAAATAATAATAAAAAAACAACAAGGAGTTAATTTAAATAATGATTGACAACAGCAAATAACAAAAGTGAAAACATGACCTTCACGTCGGGCATCAAACTTACACAACACAATTAAATGCAGCGTGAGGAGCAAATGTACAAACACGGGATAAATACATTATTTATAGGATCATTTACAGGAATCCACTTCTGTTTCCAACGCCATGGTTTTCCTCCTGTTGAGCAGTTGAGATGTTGACGACAGTAAATCTATCTTCTGTACTGAGAAGCTGCCTTAAGACATTTAATGTTTACATTTCAAACTAGACCTATTGCAATAAAAGAAATGTCAAATGAAAAAGTGTAATTTTGTATGTACAAAAATATATCACATATATCGCGCTCTTATTCTAATTTGATATTTGCTCGACCCCTTCAGTACAGTGCTGGCTGGTCGCACGCCTCCTCTGGATTTTCAAGTCTTTTCCCAAAATCTCCAACAACATTATGTCAAATTATGCTAAATGACCTTTTGACCTTTTCACGACAAGCAGAAAAGCATATTGCAAACAGCTCAATCCTCACAGTTTTATCAAAACAAAAAAAGAGAAAAGAAAAGTAGTTCAACAAATAAAGAGGCAGGAGTTTTACAGAGGGAACCTTCGAACTTCTGCTTCTTTTTAGTTTCACTGAATTTGTAGCAGCAAAAAAAGAAAAGGGTTTGATTTTTGTTCTGTTTGGGTTTGTCTGACGCTGACCTTTGCTCCGTTCGGCTGCTTTTTGGCTTCAGGATTACAGTGAGTGGTGAGAGAAGTATCTCCTAGTGGGAGGGGTAACTGGGGGGTAACTTCACGGCCAAACCAACATCACACTGGTGTTGGTGTGAGCGTGTGGAGCCTCCGCTGGTCAAACCCAAACGTTACAGGCAGAAGCACAAAGATAAATAAATGCTTTGTTCATGAGGTCAGTGTCACACTGTGAGCAAACTATCAAACTCTACTCAGTGGTGTCAGAGAAGCTACACTAAATCATCCAGGAGGGAAAAACATCACAAAGGTTCATGTCGTCCCGTCTTCCTCCAGATCAGATCCCGATGGAAAGGCCTGAGTTTAACAGAGTCCTGGACCAGAACTAAGACCAGACACGCTCTGCTACTGGGTCTTAGAAAATCTCCAGCTATTCAGATCCTCTACATGGGTGGAACGATCATCCCGGGGATCGCTGCTTTGTGGGAAAGAGGGGCAGGAAGGGGGAGAGAAGGGGGAGAGAAGTGGGAGAATTGGCAGTGGAGAAAAAAAAAACAGAGAAGAAGAAGACGACGAAGGGTCAGTCATGTAATTGCTGGGTTTCGTCTGTCATCACAAAAGTCACATAACAGAAATGTGCTGTAGCATCTGGCCAACAAAGACCCCCCCTCACCTCCCCTCACCCCCTCACCCCCCTCTCCAATTATCTCTCCATTTCGCGGCTCCAAAAGAATCAGAACTTTTTTTTCTCTGCTTCATGTCAACATGTCGTTCAGGTTTTCAGACTTTCTTTCATAGCTTCACGCTGAAGCCTTGACTGTTAGCTGTTAGCACTTGAACGCCCATCATGCAGCAGTGTTCTTCATTCAGACATGAGAGAGAGAGAGAGAGAGAGAGTATGTGGCCACAGTGGAATGAGGAGATGATGAAATGGAATCCTCCAGCTGGTCTGGAGCTGGTCGTGTTTGCATTCTTACCTTCTAGTATCATGAGCTGTTTTACCACTAGTTCCTGTCTTCACCTCCTCCATGCCAACCCCCCGTCCCCCCTCCCTCTTTTTACACCACAGCCGTCACAGGCAGACATTTTTCATATAACATATTGGCCGTATTGATCTCCCTCTCTGCCTGATCTCTAACTCCCTGGTTATTTCCTAAGTGTCTCCGGTTTGTTGGGATTAACAGAAGTGTGTGTGTGTGTGTGTGTGTGTGTGTGATTAGCACACGGTGGCCACCAGCCTCTGGGTCATCATGGTCAGTGCTCATAAACGCCAACAGAGGAAGTGAGGAAGTGCTTAGCTCGGGGCTCTGATAAAGATTACGATCCATCATTCCTCGCTCTCTCAACAACACGCTACATCCTGCCCAGACCCA